GTCTGATAATATCAACAAGCTTCTGTTAACAACTTGTACAATATTGTTATATCATGACTGTATCAGACTTGTTGGAACAACCTTGCGACAAGTCTGATAATATCAACAAGCTTGTTACAAGCTGTTTAAACAACTTGTACAATATTGTTATATCATGACTGTAACGGACTTGTTGGAACAACCTTGCCACAAGTCTGATAATATCAACAAGCTTGTTACAAGCTGTTAACAACTTGAATACAATATTGTTATATCATGACTGTATCAGACTTGTTGGAACAACCTTGCTACAAGTCTGATAATATCAACAAGTTTGTTACAAGCTGTTAACAACTTGTATACAATATTGTTATATCATGACTGTATCGGACTTGTTGGAACAACCTTGCTACAAGTCTGATAATATTCAACAAGCTTGTTACAAACTGTTAACAAGTTGTTCCATACTTGTTGACAACTTGGGACAAGCAGTGCGAACACAACTTGTTGATGGCTTGTTGGCAAACTTGCTACAAGATGTTGAGATTGTGGATGTGAATACTGCAGACCAGACTGCCAGTACATGAAACAACAAACAAAGAAAAGTGAATCAACCATCTATATATTAGGTTTCGTATCTTAACAATAATTGATATAAATAATGTGTTTCAATTTTAAGCGAAACAACTCGCAGCAAATCTCTAGTAACCGTTATCTACCATTATCAACCTAATTTAAAGTCTCTTCTATAATATATAAAGCTTCATACGGTAGAAAATTATAACCCTAAGCGGACAACTAGCCAGTCCTGGAGCATATTTAAGAACAGTTCTCAGACTTTCTTCTGTTTAAGAACAGTTGTCAGACTGTTTGTGCTATCAGACATTTGTAATATGTGAAGTCTCTCCAACTTCTTCAGAAGAACTGCCACTTTTCCCAGCTTGATCAGATGTCTTCTTTCTCTGTCTAACAGCCTCCGGACAACACCGCTGAGCGCCACATTCTTTGTCTTCCCCACAGCCTAGCACACAGTTGTTGAGTTCCAGATTCTTAGGAGGATCTTCGATGAATTCAGGCTGGATGGTCGTGGAATGGATCCCTTCGTTGTGAAAGAAATCCTTCACCTTGTTTGCAATCGGCATGTACTCCGCCATCGAGCGACATGTAATGTGCGCTGAAGCTGAAAAGGTAGGATTTTAAAATTTTGATTCAATCTCGGGAGTTTATTATTGAGATTCTCACTCATTGGTGAGCGGACTATTTCCCAACAGGCTATTGCGCAATTGATAGGGGACCGACGTACCTACGATTTTAACGTCCTTATCCGAGAAGACGCGAAAGCAGTGGTGTCAAGTAACGAAGTAAATGTAATTCGTTACTGTACTTGAGTACTATTTTTGAGAAGTGAGAATGTAACAAAGTAAACTTTTTCTGGAGTACTTTTACTTGGAACGAAGTCATTTTAAGAAGTAACGTTTTACTTCGTTATTTTCATTTTGTGGCGAAGTATTTCGTTAGTTTCCCACATCTGTTTAATTTTACGTGATTTATTCCCGATTTATTTTAATATTGGGATACATAGGTAATATAGGACCTCTACATGCGTCTGGGATCTCTTGTTTGTGACTTACTTATAAGCATTATTTATTTAATGGATTTCTTATCTTCAACGGGGTCTAGAATGTAGACCATGCCGTGAATTATTGTATATTATGGCGCACGCATATAATGCGTGTCTTTTGTATGTCAATCCTTGGAGTAGCCCCTCCCCCTAAACGCTATAGACAATAGTGCTTTTACTTGTACTTTGTACTTCAAGTATTTTTTAAGGATACTTTGTACTTTTTACTTAAGTACGTTTTGTCTCCAGTACTTTTTACTCACCCCTGGCCAAAAACTTAAAAGGATACCATTCAGTTGTCATACATGTCCTTTATCACTTCTATGACATGAGTTTGATAACGGCTTGTGAAATTTTCTGCAGTCTAAAGTTTCATGTTGTCTGCGCATGTACTTTCTTTGGAGACACAATTTGTTTTGTCAAAATGATCAAGATAGTGACTCTGATTGATTCACGTATTGTATTGACAAATGACTGTTGACATTGCTTTTCAGTCTTCAATATTTCAGTGGGTCATGCTTTGAAAATGACAATAAATTTTTATTACCCAACCCTTGAGTTGTTTTGTTTTTCATTTACCCAACCTTTTACTAACTCAAAATTTTGTTTACCCAACCCTTTTCTCTTCCTTGCCACCCCCCCGCCATAAATAATGACCGGTCCCTTACCAATAATTTTATCTCCGGCCAACTGCCAGACGTGGAATTCGTGTAAGCTCAGCACTCCCTCGACTTGCTCCAGTAATCTCTCTCGTACTTCTTGTATCTTGATATGGGTAGGCACGGTTTGCATGAGGATTAATGCAGACTCCTTTAACAAAGGCACAGAGGATTTCATGATAATCAACACCATGATCAAACTCATCGCTGGATCAACGTATAGAGTCCAGTCACCGTCTCCGTATATAATACACAAAGCGCTCGCGATGACAATTACTGAACCCAATGCATCGCCTAGTACGTGGAGGTAGACAGCTCGCATATTCATCTGTGCACTGCTAGTGACTTTCTTTTTATGAAGGGAGTGTTTTTCTGGATCTGTTGATGCGCATGTAGGCAGTTCCACTGATTTCTCTCTCACGATAACTACAGAAATTTGAACAGATTTATATACAAAATGTGCAAACTTTGCAAGACTATATTTTCCAAGCTTTACAAACATTTCGCAACCAAATTTTGCAATTTTACTAATTTCTTCATGTTCTTTTCAGCGGTGGTGTTTGATTCCCTTCTCTTTACTTAGATTAAAATTTAGTCTAACATGCAAGTTGTCCACTGATTATTGCACACTAATTGTTCCGGACATATTTGGACAAGTGCTATGACCCTTTCAAAACATATCTTTTTAAAAATAACAAAGAACATCGAACAGAGTGACTGTGCCGCTTATTGAGTTATTGTGTTAGTGCTTGCTATGGTCAGAAACCCCGGAGTTCTTTAATGTTTATATGGTATCTTGTATTTAGTAGATTGTATGTCGAACAATGATAACGAGACATATATCCTACTGTATCAATAAAGACGCCTGTTAAGGTAAACTATTCGACAAGCGACATTGCGCATTGAAATCTATGGGGATGAACTCTGCATGCCTATATTGTGGCGACACGAATGTGAAAACAATAGCGAAATTTACATTGATATCCGAAGGAACTAGACTCAGTTCTGAAATATCACATACTTGAACCGACCTGACCGCGTAGCTCAGTTGGGAGAGCATTGGGCTAGTATTCCAAAGGTCGTAGGTTCGATGACCCTTCGATTCCCACCGTGGCCAGGCATATTTTTCAAGCTTGCCCGGTGTGGATGCACACTCAGAGTAACATCACAAACACCATATTCACCTGAGTACATTACACCAACACAGCAAACAATAACGAAATTCCGAAAGCGAAATTTTGTTAATTTTTCGGTTTTGTCTACAGAGTGAGAGTACAGACAGTACAACCGGTATAGATCACAGCATGAAAGTTTCAATTCTCAGCGATTACATGGTATCCGTGACGAGATGAAAGATTGACACGCTAAGTCCACTCGGAGATGACGAAGAATTAATTGTTCAATTAGAGTTTAGTGATAATAATATGTCAACATCAGAGAAAGAATTGAATGTTTGATTCAACTTTTTCGATTTCTATCATTGTTTTATATTTCTAAAACACTTTTCGATGTCCATAAGTTGGCTAAAAGAATTGGCTAGGAGTGATTGGAATTTAAATACGCACCGTAGACTACAGTGAACTCATAAACACACGTTTCTTGCGGCGCGGTTTTGCGGTTTTATTTTAAATCAATCCGTCAACATCGAGAAGTAATATTCCCGCTCGTCGGGGGCAATAATATTAAGAGAGCAACCATGGCTAAGCAGATATCACTTGTATGGGAAAACGAAGAGGCTTTTTTAACACGTGTACACGATGAGAAGACTCTTCGAGAAGAAATTTACCATAATTGACATGGGAACATTAATGTCACGTATTTATTCACGATTACCACATCAATTCTGTACATTTGCAGTGCCAATGTGAATTGTTTGTTTCAGTTGTAAATTTTAAATTGAGATTTTCTCATTGTCCAATATAAATGCAGCCCTTTTCCTCAGGCAATAATTAATGAACGAGTACACTGTATATTAATATATATGGCCAAAATTAAATTATTAAATTTCAAAAGTATTAAAAAATGTTTACCCTCAATCTAGAAACACCATATTTTCTTACTATACACTATGTGAGATTTCCACTTTGAGATAAAACGAGACACTTGTCAGCTTGTATAAAAAGGCTTTTAAGTTTATATTTTATGTAGAGATTATAGTTATAAGAATCCACCACAAATTTAAGATATGTTATTTATGTTTGGCATGGTTGATCATCTATGCTGATGACATATATACAACATTAATTGCCCCACCTAATTGAAAGACATAGAATACTATTAGCCATAATAGAATAACAAACCTGTTGCAAATTTTTGAATCTCTTTTGCATCTCTCAAATATGAACTACCGAACATGTCATTGCCCTGATCTTCAATTTCGGCCACCTCGCCATTCTCAACATTGCCCATATTTGGGAGAATCATTTCACCTGTCTGTATCGAGGGAGTGCTGTTACCATTCCTGACAGCGCCATGCGAATGACCATGCGAGTGACCATGGCCCCCGCCACCATGCGAATGACCATGTCCGTGATTATGGAACAGGAACAGACCTATCACATTAATTAGCAGGCCAGCACCGCCGACAATTAGGACCAACCATGGGTTGTGGATTGGCTCGACTTCCACTAAACGTTTGAGGCCTTCGATAAAAATCGTAAAGCATAGGGCTACCAAGAATACGGCATTTATGAGAGCGCCTAGAACTTCAGCCCTTTGCCAGCCAAATGTGTTTCGATCGGTCTGGCCTGATTTTTTTGAGTACCGCAAAGCAAAGAAGCCGACTATTAAGGATATTACATCAGACAGCATGTGAAATGAATCGGCAACCAGAGCCACAGACCTTGTGATATATCCAACGATTATTTCAACGAGAAAAAAACTGCTTGTCAGCACCAACATTGAAAGTAGACTACAGGTTTTCGTATTACGCACAGCCTTCCTTTTAGGTTTCGTCATTTTGAATTATACTAAAAATAAAGTGAAGGAGATTTTTAAGGAAATGTCCAATTAAAGTAGGCATTTTGCCATCAAAAGGTACGCTTCACAGGTCGACTTGTAGATCTCTCAATTGTATTGATTTGCTAACGAATACTATATTTCTAGCGTGTACAATGAAACAATTACTTTATGTTCTCACTTGATAACAGCAGGGATTGGCAATATAAAAGCTTAAGTTTAAACACGCGTGCCTTCATGTCGTTTTTTATTGTCTCAAATGGACGTGGAAAATTGGGGGGGAATGTAAACAAAATACAACCAAAATCGTTGTTAAAATATTTAGTGAAGTACATAACAATCTATATATTCAAGTGTTTGCCGTAATTACCCGTCAATTCACAGTTTTAAAATACGATAATACGTTGTCCTCACGGCCGCCAGTGCACATGAACTCTACACAAAATGTAAACAATAAAACTACATGAAAATACAACGTGTGTTAAAACTCACCAATGGATCGTGTTGGAAACAGCAATCAGAAAGAAGATCGGGGTGAACTACGTTGGAAAAGGTTAAATAGTTTTCTCTCAGCGGGTGAGAAATCACATAAATTTATAGTCAGATAAAAATATGTCCAACACATTGTCTTTCAAAGTTCACTTTTATTGATGAAATATGATATTTTTAGCACACTTCCTCGTTCATACAAAAAGGATCGTTCACAAGTAGGTCCCTAAAATTGGGCTGGTTACCTACAGGTGTTGTGGGCTTTTGCCGTCGTTGGCACCCAGAGATGGACAGTCGCAAATACGGTCGTTATGTAAAATGTATGAAAGAAATTAATTATCGCGAGCTGGCCATTACCACTGAATTAAGCCTACTTCTATAGGTCGCGTGTGGGAATTAGCAGAGTAGGGGTTTTCGAGAGTTATACATTTCATTTCATTTCAAATTGATTGAATCTATCAACTGTTATTTTACATAGGGCTGTAAAAATATCAACAGATAAGATCCACAAAGTATACAAAATAAGACCATAATTTATACGCTGTACCATTAAAAATTTAAAATTTATCTGCCGATCCCAGATCTTTGCTCCTTTAATACAAAGTAAAACTTACTTTCACAGAATTTATATTCGGTTCGGATAGCCTTAGTAACTTATCAATGCTTCTTAATTAAATAATATTAATTTGCGTCACTTTCCAAAAGGATTCCATATATATATTATCTCTGGAGAATTACCCTTCATAACATTCCTCATGTATATCGTTCTTTGATCTTGTCGTCTTTCTTCCGTAAGATTTCCCAACCAAACTTTTCCACTATTTGTTTTGACGGGCCATATGATGATATACTACAACATCGGGTCAAATTTTGGAGATGTCGTCGTTTTCAACTGTGATCAAATTCTGACTCAACAGTGCTGAACCTTGGTCGCAGTAGTTATAAATTGTCAATTGGATAATTATAAAACCTGTTGGTCCAGTTGAAACTAAACTAATTTGAACAGAACAGTTACAGCTTTTACGTACTGTAGTCCTTGTGTGGATATGCATGGTATGCAGTTTAACATGATTCTCTGTTTTCGACAAATGAAATCCCAGAAATACTCCGTAAATAGTTTTATATATTTTATTTATATATTGTTTTAAGATTGACTTTCTATTTCGGTCTGACTTTCACCTCCGAAATGAAATCCCAGAAATACTGTGTAAAATATAATCATAAATAAATAAACAAATAAATAAATAAATAAATAGTTTTATATATTTTATTTATATATTGTTTTAAGATTGACTTTCTATTCCCAGCCCCAGCCCCACTGACTGATGACTGACTTATAGTCTTTTTGACACATCGCCTTCTGGTGTATGAGTTTTATAACTTAGAGATTCCCACAGTGATTCCAGGATACTCGTGATGGTTCATTTCCTGTGCGCGGAACTGACTACTGTTGAATTTTAAGTACACAAAATTCTTTGCCAGACAAACAAATTCTAGAAATATGAGAAAAAAATCAAAAATATAGATCTCGTGATGTTCTAAACCCAAGATACAAGGTTAGATTTCGAATTTCGATCGAGTGTCCTATATCTATACCTGTACTCTTATTGAATCGCGTGACTAAATCATTCGCTTTGTATTTAATTAGTGTCAAATAAATAATCTCCGTCGTCAACATTATAAAGGTCACGGGACGGCCTATATTCATGCGTAACTATCATTTCACACGACTTTGAGATATGGATGAAATTTTGTGTTTAGTAATAGTGACTCAGCGAATGAAAACAAACATTCCCTTGATCTTGTAAGTAAAAGATTAATAAGAAATACCATATGTGTCCGGTATGGGCTTATATATATTTAGTATAATTACATAGGTGATTATTGAAAATTCGCCACGCTGATTGGTTGCCGTTGAGGTGATTATTACGCAATCTGAATCACCTAAGCGATTTTCAAAATGGCGGTCGAAGCCGTTCTGTCAATTAAATGACGAAGAAATGTGCATTTTTTCCAAATGATCACCTATGAAATTATACTAAAACAATTATTCACCTCAGGCTCGGTGATTATCGTGAATAAAAACCTCGACATTCACCGATAATCACCTCGCCTTCGGCGAATAATTGTTAAATAATAAAAAATATCCGGATTAATTTAATGAGGATTTGCGACTTGAGTTGCACTGTGTATCAGGGTCATCAGGGGCGTAGGAAGCATCAAAAGGGGGCGCCGGTATTGAGGGGCACTTTTGGAACGAAAAGGGCACCTAAAAACTTTTTTCCGGAAATGTTGGGGGAGGGGGGAGGGGAGGGGGGAGGGAAGGAAAAATAAATGCAATCATAAATCAAAGGCCGTTGAGGTCGACCCACGGATGAGATCAAATGAAAGTGACAGAAAGAATTAAAGCACTTTGGCCAGCACTTTGACCAACATCCGTGAGTCAAAAATGCAATCTGAACAACAATTTTCACCGAAAGGCAAAGGGCACTTTGCCAGCGGGAAAAGGGCACTTTTTGTGTCTTCTGAAAACTTGGGGGCCTTGGCCCCCCGGTTCCTACGCCCCTGCTGTGTATATGATGCACACAACTTGCTTACGTTGTGGTATGCGTGTTGTGTGTTTGATTTACACAGTGCAACTCAAGTTGTAAGCAGGTTGCATGCGACAGTTTTGTTGCATGCGACAGTTTTACTGGCCTTAACAAGCTGAGCTACAGCTAGTCCAGTCAATCGCAGGGCCGCCTGAATTTTCTACGGAAACGCCGCACATTTATACAGAAACGCTCTGTTATTAAGGAAAACTACTTCAAGTACACAGAACGAATATGATTTTCTACGGAACAAGCCCGGGACGTCCTGGAGTCTTGAAAAGGACGACGAATGAGCAACGTCTGATGGGACCCAGGTCCAGTGACGGATGGATCAAGATTGGGGTATTACTGATCAAACATGAAACATTTCAGTCACTAATTAATCTTTTCCCCCAAAACAGTTGGCGAGCGGGGAGGGGAGGACTAAAGAATTCCCAGGCATACAATTTTTCCAGTAATTTTCGAATTCATTTAATCATTTTAATGTACCGTAGCTTTGATCTTTTCCAATGTTTTAATTTTAGGGGCCCATGAGGCCATGATAGCAGGGGTCCACAACGAGTTCTCGTCGGTTTGTCTGTTATCATTACTTGGCACCGATCGCGCGTTCGATATCTTATTCGGTATTTTCCACCGAAACAAGCCAATGGACTATACTACTATTTAACGCATCTCCAACATAGTTGCAGCGTATACTATGAATAATCCCAGTACTTGTGATGTCATGATCACCACGCTTTCAAGCTGGGAGAGCCGGGTTCCGATCTCTACTCAAGCTCTTAAAATAATTGAGGAGAAAGTGCTACCTTTACATTGACATCAGTAAACGGTTAGACTTTCGCGTCTTCTCGGATAAGGACGTTAAAATCGTAGGTACCTCGGATCTCCTATCAATTGCGCAATAGCCTGTTGGGAAATCCGTTCACCAATGAGTGACACACTCAATAAACAACTGATACTTTCTCCTCAGACATTGTTAGTCAACAAAAGAAATTTGATATGAGTCACAAGGACCTCTGACTCTTGCGCAAATTCCAAGATTCACGGCTTCTATTATAGGTGAGCCAACCCGCGGGTACCCGAGCTGACCCTGTTTTGGCCAGATCCCGGCTTTGTTGATTAAAGCCCCGTTTACACTACGTTCAATTTTTTTGGTGCGGCACCATAAATTGAGCGTTGTGTAAACGGGGCTTATATCTCACATTATTCATATGAAATCAAGCATGGCCCGTCTGAGCGAGAGTCGCCTTGAACCCTTGACTGACCCGAGGTCTCGCTAAGGCCGAACTCCGAGAGTTTTCCATGCATGTATATATTATATCCGTGATTATATCTACGGATTATATATATACATATGCATCGTCACGTGTGTATATTGTATTGCATTTTCGCTAGAGCAACTAGTAGCCATGTTTTCATTTAACCATTGTGTAATATCACGACTGGGTAATTAAACCAACACACTGCTATTTGGTTGGTTGGGCGAAAATACAATACACATGTGACGATGAACCGACCATTTCTTGCATAATCCAAGACAAAAACAGAGATAATGAAGTCTATTACGTCTGCATCGAGTTCCCTAATCTTTTTATGCTATTCACTGTGATGTACGTTTTGATCGATTCATTTCAATATGGTAATACATTATCGATTAAATCACTTCCTGAAAATTTGCTCTGGTAGTATTTTAACAATTTCAAACACTTGACCTAATTATATGTTGTTGTTTCCTAATAAGGCAACAATATTGACTGATATTGTTTGCTAGGTCTCGCACAATACAAGGTGAAAAGTGAAAAATATTTTAAAGTGTCACTTAGTAATGCCTAATGATACAAAATAATACTCAGCTTGTTGTGAACAGATTTAGAACAACTTGTTTTCAGAGACCTGTAAAAACTTGTGCGTTTTTACATGTGTGATGTGTAATAGACTTTTCCGGTAATTACGTGACAACTACACTGTTTTCAACTTAATAGGACCCCCTTAAATGGAATAGATTTCAAGTTTGTTTCTCATGGGCTATGGTCAGAGAAGCAGAACATCCTTCTTCAACACATGCATGAAAAATAATTTTACATTTTGACCAATAAATGTGGAAATAAGCTTAAACACGAAAACGAGGCTGAGGGGCCCAGAGGGCTGTTTAAGCTTATTTCCACATTTAATAGTCGAAATCCAAAATTCTTTTTCATGCATGTGTCTTCGAAGGATGTTCTGCTTCTGTGATCATAGCCCATGAGAAACAAACTTGAAATCTATTCCATTTAAGGTGGTCCTAATTAGTTGAAAACAGTGTAGTTGTGACGTAATTACCGCGGAAAAGGCCCGTTCTGTGGAGTCTATATCCCCCACAAAACACACGTGATCATATCCATGGACAGACATGAAATGATATTGAATGCATGGATGGAAACAGACCATGCTAGCTACCATGCATGCGCGATGCTGTTAAACGCAACATGATATCTCCAGATGTCAAAATATTTGGGGTGGCCTAGCCGTAGGAAACACATGCCACCATACACCCACGTAATAACAGGCGTAGGAAGGTGTGAATTCCGAATATTATGTATAGATTATTGATATTTATTAGCTACAAACTGGTAGGGAGAAAATAACATCATCACCCAATTTTAATTAAATGTAATCCTTCAAACTCTTAATCAATCACTAAGTCAAAGACAAACAAGATTATCCCACCCCAACTCGTATAAATATAGAATACCAAAATTTAATACGTCAACCTTTAAAAAAAATCATACAAAATCCGAGCATCAAGAACATGAAACACACTACTTCATTATATTACATCTATAATATTTTCACTGCAGAGAAGAGCATGTTTTCGTTGGCAGGAGGTTTCATATGACAAGCTTTAATTAGTGATAGGCTATATAAGGTCAATCAATCATTCAAATTATCGATTTGCAAAGTTTATATTGAATCTTCAAAATACTGTTACGATATATTAACAAAATTCAACATATTACAGACATTAGAGCTAGCTTCTTGTGTGAATGGTTATAGGCTTTTTTTTCTGTTTATTATGTAATTTAAATGTTCTGCGAGTCCGGTGACTGTGTTAGTCAACTTCAACAGAAATACGCCATTGGTATTTCTGTTAGTTATTATTATGACAAGTTTTATTTTTCAATTTCTCGTGTGTATGCATGTACAACCAATTTTCTATGACATCATGACATGTTTCTGGTTTTCTGACTGTCACACAGCCCACACTCAGTATCTACCACGCCAATATATTCACTGTCGAACCCCTGCAGCCAAGTTCTCAAATTACTTTCTTTGACTTTGTTGCCATAACAGACGAGCAAAATATGGACTTTGCCAATATTTTCTATGCCAAGTGCACTCGTTGAAAAGCTAGTCTAGCTTTCCAACTCCCAAGTGCACTTGTCATAGAAACCGAAACTTGGCAAAGTTGACGGCAATAAATACAAACGGGCAAATAAAAGTGAACATACAAAATGATGGACACTCCAAAGAATTTCGTTTTCACTATATATATTATCGACGTTGTCATTTGAAAACGTGTCAGTGTTTACTGACTAAGTCAGTTCTCTAAAACATTTTTTACAGATCCTTCAAAACTTACAATTTACCTATATGCAAAATCAGTCCTGCTGTTTATCGGATCACAGACTAAACTTTGATAGTTTTAACTGAGTTCATTCTAGGTTTGCATGGTCATAAAACACATAATATTTTGTTTGTGAAAACACCACGTAAATTTATTACTGCAGACCTTTCGATCCGTATAATATCCATATCTTGATTAGCACTGTCCACTGATGAAGATCAATGCTTACGGATCGAAAGCTTTGCAGTGATAAATTTGTTTCCACAAACTAAATTTTGTTTGTGGAAACGTAAGAAAAATGTTTCCATAAACAAAATATTATAGGTTTTAACCAGGCTTAACAGCGGTAGTGTACTAATCCCATGCAGGCATATATAAATCTCCCATGGATGCATGGGTTTCTATAGGGAACAAGAGAATGGGGAGAATTGGAAACTTGCAATGGGAAGACTGAAAGATTAAACAAAAAATATTTAAAAAAGGGGAAATGTGAAATCGACAAAGGAAAACTTATTAACTGAACATGAAGACATATACAGACTCTCCTGGTGGACTCATAAGTTTGGTTTCCATATGGTCGTAAAAAGAGAGTCACGATCTTTCTCAACGGTCAGTTTAGAATAGTTTATACCTGTAAACCACATTTAAATCATAAGTATTCTCTAGTTATAATCACTCCGCATATTTTTAGTTCTAAAGTGTTGTATTTCGTCTGATGAAGAAAGATCGTGACTCAATCTTTACGACCGTTACGACCATATATAGAAACCAGTTTATAAATTTATACCTCCTCTGCAGGCTGTATAACGAATTCCCTACTTGTAAGGCAGAGTCTATAAGTATACCTTTCGGGCTCATGCATGGAGTCTGCATATATTGAGTCCCTACATGCTATATAATATATAATATTACGTACAGAAAGCTGAGGTTTGAGAATCCGCAGTATAGTACAAGTTTTTATTGACGTTATATACTTTTCTTTCGTTATTATTTTAGTATTTTCATACAGTTTGCATATTTTCTTTAAAATTCGAACCTAGCTCTCGTCGTTGAAATGCGTAAAAATAGCAATAACCGTCTATTTGCTGCGCCCTGATTCACCTATTTATATATTTAATGGCTCAATTAATTCTGTAGCACTGCTGTCATCAGCTAATCTTACTCTAACATACTGGCTAGACAATTTAACTCGTCTCTAGGGCAGACTTTCCTATTGAAATCTTTGAAAAAATTGAAACTTTTTTTATTTTACTTTGTCTTTGACAAAATATCTGCAATGTATATATACTTGGATTTGGTTTTGTTTTGGGCGAAGCGCGCCGGTAAAAATTTTAATTAATTTCTGGGCAAGCCTATAATTGGAATCGTCTAGAAACTACGTGCTGTCTGGCAGATGTCATTCTAGTTTTATCTTCACAAAACCGCACTTCGTATCTTGGTATCGTGTTACCGTAATTTCGCCTCCAAAAACAGGAAGCAACGAGACAAAACCCAGGATACGTTAATTCTGTTTTGAAAAACCCTTAGAAGTAATCTTCAAGTTTTAATTATACTTCAAGGACTATAATTATCGAATGAGTACTTTTTTCCCCACACATCTCTTTCACAAACTTGCGTAGAACAGAGAAAGCTTACATGTTCGCTGCACCTAATGAATGATGAGTTCATATTTGGTATTCAATAAATTGCGTGTTGAATCGCGCTCGCCAAACATTTTCCAAATATTTTACGCAGATAAATGGTGTTTACTTTTTTTAAGAAGGAAGTACAGTTTAACCCTAGTTTCCGAGGGCATTTTCGCTTGGCTTTTTAATACGTTTCGATCCATAAATGTCGAATGAAAGTTTATTTAGTAACGAGTTAAACACTTATCAGATCATCGATAAACATACGGTGACGTCCACTGGCGATTCATTAATCGCATACATATCAATTAGGCTTGTTTATGTAAATTTTCTTTGGGAGTCTAAGCGACGAAGGAAAAACGGATGAAACATTTGTTGGTATCTGAAAACAGTCACGCAAATCACAAGGCTAACGAGAGTTTTTGAAAATAAATTGTGGACTGTATAAGACGCGCGTCAATCATATTATGCTTTTCTAATGACTCTGGACGGCTTACTGCTAAATAGCTTATCAACTAAAAGTCAGAAACGAAAGGAATTGCCCGAATTGAGACGACAAGACACGTACTTCACTTGGACCTGAGTGGAACGGAAAACGAAAACCGGCTACGCGCCAATTAAAGTGAAATCTTTCACGTTTATACGAGTCGTGTACAGTACAATAACTGTCCTAGAAAGATTTACAAGACTTTACATCAGTCAAAACAACTTTCGCTGTCGGCAGAATTGCTAAACGACAAACCACAGCAGTATTTGGTGACGTAATACGAGATTCACGCAGTGCTGTGTGGCCACAAATCACATGAGACTGACGAGAGTTGTCATATTGCTATACGTTGCGGAATAAATACATCGAGACAAGCTATAAGTGTTCTGTTCTGACCTGCACTTTAAAAAGGCTTGGAGTCACGCGGTGTTTGGCGACCATAAAGACGAAAGAACAGTATTAAGAATAGAGCTATCTCGAATACAGACGTGAATCTGTTTGTCTGTACACATATACAGACCACACGAAAAGAGCCACTACAAAATTAAAGATAAGAAATCGCTGACATATAGAGGGTGGTCTTGTTATATAGCCTTTACAAGTGACACGTATTATCTTTTGAAGAAGATTTCGGATTTGGGAAGCGTGGCATATCTTCAGTGTCAGAAAGAAAGCAAAACAAGCTTACGTTTGTAATTTTAATGTTGATTGATTCAAAGAACTCGTGCTGGGAAGGAATTAGGAGGTATTTTGTAAAGTATACTGTGTTTATTTAAAGCATACAGCCTTTCCGCTCGTCGATATAAAGAACCAAGGAATTTGAGAGGAATAATTATTATTAAACTGGTTACTTTGGTCGTTTAAAGTTTTCGAAGCAATTTGTGAACACCATACTCGACAGAAGAAACCAAGTAATACCAAACTGGTAATACCAAAGCTTTGAACCTTTGATTTATAATTGTATACAATTGTCTAAAGTGTCTAATATGGTATATATGTGATCTTGGAGTAATATTTTGGACGATTTTAAAGTTGATTTACTGGATATACTTCTGCAATTGTATACTGGTAAAATTGTCAGGAGGAATTTTGTCTTTCAAAAACAGTGTCACAGACGGACCATATTCGCTTACGTCATGTATAATTCACGAAAACCCAAAGTTTTATTCCGTCCAGCGCGATGGCTAGTCTCATCTCTTCGCTATGGATTCTTAATGCCTATGGCTTGTGGGCGACGTATGTTCGCTGCTAAGAAAGATGTCGAGGACTTCTCATCTCATATACAATGGGTGAACAGCAAGATTAAAGATCCCAACTATCATATTGAATCGTTAGCAGATTTGGCGAAAGGAACTTCACTATTACAATTAGTTGATAGTTGTTTAAAAAACTCTAGCAAATCAAGGCACGAATTTGTTTTCGGTGAAATGGACGATTCGCGATGCTTAAGTTTGGTGAAAGTGCGAGTGTCGTTAAATCTGATGGAATCGAAAGGTGTCATAACGAAAGGCGAGTTTTCGGCCGATCTCATTGCGGCTGGCGACGTCGAACATATCAGAGGAATCGTTGTTAAATTAGCGCTATTTCCTACGACTTTACAACGCGGACAAAATTTGCAAGCGGCCGAAAATGGACCAAGTAGTGTTGTGACAGAGGTTTGGTAGGCCTAGTATTGGAATACAGTATTGTATATAGTATTGGAATTGCTAATAGATTTTATTTTATATTGTATGAGATATTTGTGAATAGAAATCCTAATTAAATATATTCAAACTGTTAGCTATTTTATAAGTCTTTTTTTGCATGCCACCGTTCGTGCCTGGTTTTCATATGATGCAATCGTTTCGACAGTTCAGAGTTCAGACGTTTTATGTCACTTTATTTGCATGCACCCGGAAACAGTCGCATGCTTTGAAAGTTGAACAGTTTTCACTTTCAAAGCGTACATAGGTAATTAGCGAATGCGCGGGGGAGCAAGGGAAACACAAGTTACCTGCATGCCTCATCATTTGCGGGTGTATAGCCCGCGTGTTGAACTATACATAGACAGCTATAGGCTTGCATGGTGTTTAACTATACGTTTCTGAGAATGGGTCTTCGTCAGGTTTTGCCCGAGCGGGCGGAGTGAACATTATTCAACTTTCTCTGTAGTTGTCTATCTTATTCCTGTGCATTTTTTGTCCGCCTGACTGCTCGCGGCGGACACGCCATGAAAGTATACACGTAAAAATTTCGCAACTTGTCAACAAGATGTGTTCGCAACAGGCTTTTAGCAAGCTTGTCAACGAGTTGTAACAATGCTGTTATTTTATCAAGTTGCTACAAGATTGTCACTCACAACTTGTTGACAAATTGTTGAATTGTAGGACGATAACAAGTTGTTGGAACAACTTGTAACAAGTCTGTTGAGCTTAACAACCTTGTAGCACGTTGTCAACAAGTTGTAACAATGCTGTTATTTTATCAAGTTGCTACAAGATTGTCACTCACAACTTGTTGACAAATTGTTGAATTGTAGGACGATAACAAGTTGTTGGAACAACTTGTAACAAGTCTGTTGAGCTTAACAACCTTGTAGCACGTTGTCAACAAGTTGTAACAATGCTGTTATTTTATCAAGTTGCTACAAGATTGTCACTCACAACTTGTTGACAAATTGTTGAATTGTAGGACGATAACAAGTTGTTGGAACAACTTGTAACAAGTCTGTTGAGCTTAACAACCTTGTAGCACGTTGTCAACAAGTTGTAACAATGCTGTTATTTTATCAAGTTGCTACAAGATTGTCACTCACAACTTGTTGACAAATTGTTGAATTGTAGGACGATAACAAGTTGTTGGAACAACTTGTAACAAGTCTGTTGAGCTTAACAACCTTGTAGCACGTTGTCAACAAGTTGTAACAATGCTGTTATTTTATCAAGTTGCTACAAGATTGTCACTCACAACTTGTTGACAAATTGTTGAATTGTAGGACGATAACAAGTTGTTGG